GGGCATCGAGAGTATCATCAATTCTTGGCAGTGGATATGGATCCTTTTTGATTATACTGTTAAGAATCCTGAAATCCACACAGCAACGTTGAGTTCCATCCTTCTTCTGGGCTAACATGACATAAGCTGACCAGGGACTATCTGATTTCTCGACTATCCCTTCCTTAATTAGGCCACTCATAACCTTCTCCATCTCTTGTCACTTTGCTGGAGCTATTCTCCTTGGAGGGATCTTTATTGGACAGTGATTGCCTGTGCTCTACAAGGTCTGTGCAGGCGAGGTCATGATCTCCTTTTGAAAAGACATCTGCATAATTTGCCAAAAGTTCCCTAAACTGAAGAGCCTGTGATGATCACAAGTGGACTATGCTCTTCTTATAGAGGTCAGTTAAATGTTCTGGGAGAGGATGTCCTTTCTTTGTGGTCGTATTTCTTGCCTTAACATTGACTGGCTCTACCTCATGGCACACACCCAACAATGCCCCTTCCTTAAATGTCTGCTCACATTTAGCCATTGTTTTGGGTACTACTTGATGACCTGCCACAAGTTATCTTCCAACTTTCACGTCTGTTTGCCTGGATTGGTCTTCCACTGCTTCTACAATCATCAAGCTTCCTTGGGGATTTTCTTTTATTCTACCCCAAATTATTTTCTCTGACATAGGGGGTATTGTAGTTGACTTAAGTGCTGTGACATGCAAATCCACAGAAGCAGCAACAAGTATACTTTGTGTCTGTCCTTCATGCCCATGAGCTCAATAGTTACCCACACTGGTCCCCACAACCAGGTATTTCCAGTGATTGTCCCTTCAAGTTCGTTGCCAGGTACACTGCTTTATGCTCCTCTGTCCATCCATTCATTTCTGCCAGGAGCTCAAATTGTGCTTTATATGCTTCCCATGGTGCCTTCTCATCAAGTTCCTGTGGCTTCCTTCCTATTGCTGACACTCGTGTCTGGAATGTGACTTCTGGCAGGACTGAAGATGACTGCATTAGGGTTTAGCTGTGGGGTCTGGAAGGGGCTTCCTGTTGTCTGGGGCTAATTAGGTACATGGTTAATATATCTTCCCTGTGTAAATGACAGTAAATCATCCTTTAATGTTATTTAATTCTACTTTAGTAACTTTTACTAATTCTTTTCCTATTTGTTAG